ACAGTGAGAGCTGATACAGGCAAATAAACCAGATGGAAGTCATAATTTGTAAGCAGCCTATCTGTTTTCTTAACACTGATCACTTTGGGATCTCAGAAAAGCTCCAGGTTATGGAAAATAAGCAAGTGAGAATAGGTGATGTGATTTGACATAATTAAATGTTGTGAGTTAGTGTGTTTTTTAAAGCATGATTTATTTTTATAAGACCCTTGTCTTTCATCAGTACCTCAGTAGCAATTCTATTCATCAAGTGGTATGACACCTTGTTTAGACACTGGATTTTGGAGAGTCCTTTTAAGCTGCATGCTGGGGTGAAATGAGAACAGGCCTATCTGCTGGTTTCCTATTGCAGATGAATGATTGCTGCTTGCTGCTGGGATAATAAAGTAATTTAATTTTGGACATTGATTAACTTCTTAATTCAGACTTCGAGATCCTTTTCTATCCAGGTCAGCTTATGAGGGTTTGGTGAGATGAATTTCTTAAGCTCACAAGGGATGTTTGCCCAGGACCAGGGGAGCTGCCCTGTGCTGTTGCTTACAAGAGATTTCCTTTCTGGCTGGAATCACTTGGTCAGCAGCAGAGTGAACTTCCTGAGCCTTTTCTGTGCTGTTAAATTTGGGACACTCAGAGTCAGGGCTGCTGACCTGCTTCCTACCTAAGGCTCTCCAACACCTCTTATGGGAGAAGGAGAATAAGAATTCCTATGCCTAAATTGTTGTTTTTGAGGGAAGTCTCCGTAGTGCCTTTGCATGTAAGGGCAGGGTTTGACCATTCCCTCCAATCCTGAGCTCTTTTCAGAAGCAGCAGCTCTCAGGTATTTGAAGAGTAAATCCATGTTCTGCCAGTGGGACTTGCTGCAGTGTGGGGCAATGTTCAGAGCGAGCCAAGGTGGATGGCCAGTCTGCATTACCTAAAATCTGCACAGCACCAGTGCCTCAGACACCAAAGGTATTTTATTAGCCCATGTGAGAAACTGCAATATTGGTTGTAATGGTTTTGATGAGCAAGTTGATTACTTAGGGTTTTCCTGCTCTTTGTAGCCAACTGAAGGTGAGGGGAGAAGAATGTGTTGTGTTTTTTTTCACAGACATTTGTAGAGCCTGTCTTCTGCTCTGAACCATCTACAGAGCAGGTCTGGAGTTGTTTAAGGCAGCTGTTTGGCTAAGCAGAAGGTTAAGATTAGACTATCATAAAATGTTTTAAGTAGTTTTCGTTGATTTGTTTTAAATGCAGGAGTCAGGATGGATGGATCAAAGTTCCTGCAGAAGGCAGGGCCCCAGACATTTTGTGCTTTTACTGCAATGACACCAAATTAATCTGTCTTTACAGAATGATTTATAAGGGTTTCTAGAATTGTCTACATGGTCACATTTTCAAACCTTGGCTCTGTAATCCTTTTAGTGGGGTCTCTAATGGGGCTGTTAAAGATTGCAGACCAAAGCAGCTAAAGAGTATCCTTAGAACTGTCTGGTCCAAGACTTCCTAAATCACTTCTATTTCATGGAGATGAGGGACTCTGCAAACAGGTCATAAGGCACAAATTCTAGTGTATTTTAGTACTCATGGCAAATATTCTGTTGACTACTGACAATATCTGTTACATCATTTACCTTGTGGCTCTGAAAGTCTTGGGTTAGGGCTTCACTCTGTAATGCTACCTCTCCCTGCAGAGCTTAGAGATAGTGCAGGTTATTCTCACTCTTGGTATTTTCAATGAGATGAAACTAGCAGCTCTCCAATCATCCCCTTTACTTGCCAAGGCTGTTTTAGAAGAAGGTTTGTTGGTTATTTTTTCTCCCTCTCCACAAAGTTTAGGCTTCATGTTTGCAATGGCACCCTCTTATTATTTTAAAAACTGGCAATGAAGAGCTCTGTTACTGACAAGAGGGAATAAAAATATGCCAGTTGGAGCAATCCAATAGGGACTGAGGCTGGGAACAACTTTTAGCCTGTGACTCACTTGGAGCAGTTGTCTGGAATCACTCCTGCTAGCTGACAGATTCTTGTTCAGAAGGGGCCAACCCTGATCTTGAGTCATGAAGGTCATGCTGCTGATTCCTGATATTAGGACCAAAATCAGGCCCAGAGATTTTCAAAACCTCACAGGACAGTGTCCATTTGGGTAAGGGGTCAGTTCTAGGGCATCTTTTCTCTGCTAATTTGGCAAGGTGCATTCCTACCTCCAGCTTATGTGGTGGTGTTTCTGGACCATTACAGCTATGAAAATTCAATGGTACCACATAAAGTCCAGGCAAGATCATCACAGGATAAGGGAGCATTTTGTTTTGCATGAAGGAATTCACAGCTGAACACTCAGGTGTGTAGTTAGACTTTGGGAGAATGATTGATTGTAAATGTCTCCACAAATATAAGCAGGACATCTGGAAATCCCTGTGTCCAATATTGCCCCAAACTGTTTTAATGAACTAGCACTTTGCTGTATCTAGATCCCTGTAAGGAAAGCTTGGTCAAACAAGCTGTCCTCATCTCCCATCCCAGCCCAGTTCCCATCCCTGCTCAGGTTCCCAGTAAAAGCCTGAGTCACAGCTAAGTGACTGCAGTCTGAGGAGGCAGGTAGCAGGATGGGAAGTGCTCTTCCATAAAGAAAGGCCTGTCAGAATAAAAATTCCTTCTAAAACACCCCAGCTGGAACAGAAACAAATATTATATTGGCAGTACCATAATGTTTGCATTCACACACCAGCTGTTACTCTTTCCCATGGGGTCTTGTTTTTTAAATGGCTGGTGGAGGACATTTCTGTTAAGCAACAAATCTAGCCTTATTTTCTATATTGGTTTATTTTCCTATATTTGCTGTATATAGTTTTCCTTGGAGTGTTAGATTTTTTTCTCTTTTCTTCTTTTTTTTTTTAATATATATTTGTGTGGCATATATGCTAACATACCATGGATTCTCTTTGAAAGGCTGACAATAAAGCATGGTGCACTCTGTAATTTAAAGCAATGCATACTTCTCTTATGGATTATTGGATTATCAGATTTGGCTTTGTTGAACATCATGTATGACTGAGTGCAGGAGTAATTAGCACACTAAATTTATGAATGACTGTTTATTAATTAACTTCTCTTACTGAAACTGAAATAGCAAAGCTATTCCTGGACTAGAAAGGCTGATAGATTTTTGGCCTGTAGTAAATTGAATACATAACAAAAGTGGGAGAGAAAAGAAGAAAAACATTGCGTAGAGTCGGTTCTGAGCAGAAATTACTGATTGCTTTTTTGTTTGGATTTTTAAAAATGTATTTTAAACATTATTGCAGTATATAAACCAATTTGATTTCATTCTTTCCCTATAATTGAATTAAAGCACTTTCAAATATTCTTAAATGTTGATTTTGGGGAAATTAAAGTTCCAGAAATACCTTTTGGATGCAATATGATGTAATACCACATATATCTGTGTATAATCTATAACATTATGAACCTTTGCATTAGAATCTGAAGTGAATGGTTTGCCAGGGGTTTGAATTGCTCACGACTGTGATGGATGTGCTGGGAACCTGTCAGTGCTCACACGTGTGGTGTGATGGAGCACAAGTGTGAGCAGGATCCGCAGGACGAGTGTGCATCAATTTTCCTGTTCTGGCACTTCAGAGGCTTCAGTACCAGGGACATAGCAAATGAAAGCCTGGAAATACTCTTTATTTTCAGTTATGTGATTTTCCTTTTGCTTTCTGGTGTTTGTGTTGTTCAGTCTTGTTTGTTTTGTTTACTTTTTAACCCAATGCTTCCCCACTGTTGACCTAAGAGTTTATTCACATCTATTTGCTCCCTGTCAGCTCATCCCACTGTGTCGTGCAGGGCTGCAATACACTTGTGGCTAAGACAAGAAAGGATGGCTCTGAAGTGTTGGTTGTTGGGCACTGCTTCTCAGACACTGGTGATTTTAGTTATTTCTAGAACTCTTGTTTTAGCTAACATAAACATCTATTGCTTTGAGTTCATGAGACAATCTTGCTGTCTCTGAATTTCAGCAGAATTACAGGAACAAGTAGGGATGTTCAATTTTTTTATACCTAGAAAGACTTTTGTGTTCAAAAGGAACAGAATGCTACCTTAAAGTCTGGCCAGTATTGGCATGTTTACTACCATGATTTATAAAATAGTAAGTATTACACTAGTGATTTTATGCAAATAACACCTGTGTTTTCACATTAAACTATGAGATGAGACTTTGGCAAAACACAGAAGTAAGAGCCATGCTACTGAATTGAAGGCTGAGACTGATGAGCAAGTTCAGGTCATGAAACAGGGTTTTTTTCTCCAGTTGCCTATATCTGGTGTCTCTCACTTGCTACAGCAGGCTGCATTTTCATTGAAATATAGAAGCTTCTACCATCCAATTTTTTTGTCCATTTACTAAAAGCAATGCAAGGATAGAGGGACAAGAAGCAATTCTTTAAGACTAAAGACGTTCCTTCTATCTTAGCCTAAATGAGAAACTGAACACATCTAAATCAGAGTCAAAATACAGCTGGGTGATAACGGGCATGATTGGAAAAAGCTCCCCCCTCCCCCTTTGGCTTTCATTTAGATTCTGCAAAGAAAGAATATTCAAAACAGCATGAAAGAGAAAAAAACAAGTTGGGAAGGAAGGAGATTATTCTTTGCTCTCGGTGACTTTAAACACAGCCAGCTAAGGATAGAGGGCGAGCCCTCAGAGGCAGGCAGTGGAAGCATCCCACGGAACTCACCTGCAATCTGAGGGTGGGGAGGGGGCGAGGTGGGAATATTTACCCGGGCAAATTCAAGTGCAGCATTGCCAGCCGCCACTAGCTGTCACTTTGCAAGCAGCCGGGCTCGGTGTTTTCAGCACTGCGGTTAGCGAGATTGCGGTGCTAATTGAGCAGAGTAACTCCCGAGCCGCGGAGCGTCCCGAGCCCGGGCACCGAGGGGAGGCACGGGGCAGCTCGGGGCAGGCAGGCGGTGCCGAGCTGGGCTGGGCACGGTGCTCCTCGCGTAAAGCCGAGCCTTACCTGAAGAAAACGATCGTCTCCCACACGTAGACTCCGAGCGCGTTGACGTTGCACATTTTTCCAGCTCTCGCTGTTGTGTTTTTGGTTGTTTGTTGGTTTTTTTTTGTACTCCGTGAGGGGTGGGCCGGTGGGGTTGGCCAATAAAGTAACCGGGCACTTGGGCAGAGCGGAGCAGCCCCGGCGCGGGCGGGCGGCAGCGCTCAGCACCGCGGAGAGCGGCGGGCTGAGCCCGGACAGCGCCCGCTCAGCACCGCGGGGAGCGGCGGGCTGAGCCCGGACAGCGCCCGCTCAGCACCGCGGGGAGCGGCGGGCTCGGCCCGGATCGTGCCCGCTCAGCACCGCGGGGAGCGGCGGGCTCGGCCCGGATCGTGCCCGCT